TTCGATTCAAACTTGAAGTTTGGGTCGTATTTTTCGACTGTTTAGATCGTATTTTTCGACTCCAACTCAAAGTTTGGGTCGTTTTTCTGACTCAGACTCAAACATCGGGTCGTTTCATTCAATCAGACCCAAAAAATGGATCTATTTTTTAAAGATGACTTAAAGTTAGGATTGCTTTTTTTCACCCCTAACCCAATATCTAGATCATTTTTTTCGACCAAAAGTCAAATAACATTTAGTATATATTAATATTATAGGCGGGAAAGTTACTTAAAGCTTCTTTAAATTATAATGCTCTGATTAACTTTCATCATAGTTATATTTTAAAATTTTTAAGTGAAGATGTACCATAGAAAAGTGCCATTTGTCATGATGGTTATTTTTGAACTTTTTTAAATGAAATAGATAAAAATATATATTGTAGACATGTTAAATCAAAATTTCAGTGATGATGTACCATAGATAAGTGGTAATTGTCATAATCGCTATTTTTGAACTTTTTTGAGTTTTTTTAAAGCAAATTGCTAAAAATATATATTCTAAACATGTTAAATTAAAAATTCAGTGAGGATGTATCATAGATAGGTGACAATTGTCATAATCGCTATTTTTGAACTTTTCCAAATTTTTTTAAAGGAAATATCTAAAAATATATATTCTAAACATGTTAAATTAAAAATTCATTGGGGATGTATCATAGATAGGTGACAATTGTCATAATCGCTATTTTTGAACTTTTTCAAATTTTTTTAAAGGAAATAGCTAAAAATATATATTCTAAACATGTTAAATTAAAAATTCAGTGAGGATGTATCATAGATAGGTGACAATTGTCATAATCGCTATTTTTTAACTTTTTTGAGTTTTTTTAAAGCAAATTGCTAAAAATATATATTCTAAACATGTTAAATTAAAAATTCATGAAGATGTACCATAAAAAAGTGACAATTGTCATAATCGTTATCTTATAACTTTTTTAAGTTTTTTTGACATAATTGGGCTAAAATAAGTATTACTAACATGTTAAAATAAAACTTCAGTGAAGATGTATCATAGATAGGTGACAATTGTCATAATCGTTATTTTTGAACTATTTTCAATTTTTTTAAAGCAAATAGCTAAAAATATATATTCTAAACATGTTAAATTAAAAATTCAGTGAGGATGTATCATATATAGGTGACAATTGTCATAATCGCTATTTTTGAACTTTTTCAAATTTTTTTAAAGGAAATATCTAAAAATATATATTCTAAACATGTTAAATTTAAAATTCAGTGAGGATGTATCATAGATAGGTGACAATTGTCATAATCGCTATTTTTTCAAATTTTTTTTAAGGAAATATCTAAAAATATATATTCTAAACATGTTAAATTAAAAATTCAGTGATCTATGGTACATCATCACTGAAATTTTGATTTAACATGTCTACAATATATATTTTTATCTATTTCATTTAAAAAAGTTCATAAATAACCATCATGACAAATGGCACTTTTCTATGGTACATCTTCATTTAAAAATATAACTATGATGAATAGTTAATCAGAGCATTATAATTTAAAGAAGCCTTAAGTTACTTTCCCGCCTATAATATTAATATATACTAAATGTTATTTGACTTTTGGTCGAAAAAAATAGTTCAAAAATAGCGATTATGACAATTGTCACCTATCTATGATACATCCTCACTGAATTTTTAACTTAACATGTTTAGAATATATATTTAGCTATTTCCTTTAAAAAAATTTGAAAAAGTTTAAAAATAGTGATTATGACAATTGTCACCTATCTATCATACATCCTCACTGAATTTTTAATTTAACATGTTTAGAATATTTTATTTTTAGATATTTCCTTTAAAAAAAATTGAAAAAGTTCAAAAATAGGGATTATGACAATTGTCACCTATCTATGATACATCCTCACTTAATTTTTAATTTAACATGTTTAGAATATATATTTTTAGCTATTTCCTTTAAAAAAATTGAAAATAGTTCAAAAATAACGATTATGACAATTGTCACCTATCTATGATACATCCTCACTGAATTTTTAATTTAACATGTTTAGAATATATATTTTTAGATATTTCCTTTAAAAAAATTTGAAAAAGTTCAAAAATAGCGATTATGACAATTGTCACCTATCTATGATACATCCTCACTGAATTTTTAATTTAACATGTTTAGAATATATATTTTTAGATATTTCCTTTAAAAAAATTTGAAAAAGTTCAAAAATAGCGATTATGACAATTGTCACCTATCTATGATACATCCTCACTGAATTTTTAATTTAACATGTTTAGAATATATATTTTTAGATATTTCCTTTAAAAAAATTTGAAAAAGTTCAAAAATAGCGATTATGACAATTGTCACCTATCTATGATACATCCACACTGAATTTTTGATTTAACATGTTTAGAATATATATTTTTAGCAATTTGCTTTAAAAAAACTCAAAAAAGTTCAAAAATAGCGATTATGACAATTACCACTTATCTATGGTACATCAACACTGAAATTTTGATTTAACATGTCTACAATATATATTTTTATCTATTTCATTTAAAAAAGTTCAAAAATAACCATCATGACAAATGGCACTTTTCTATGGTACATCTTCACTTAAAAATTTTAAAATATAACTATGATGAATAGTTAATCAAGCATTATAATTTAAAGAAGCTTTAAGTAACTTTCCCGCCTATAATATTAATATATACTAAATGTTATTTGACTTTTGGTCGAAAAAAATGATCTAGATATTGGGTTAGGGGTGAAAAAAAGCAACCCTAACTTTAAGTCGTCTTTAAAAAATAGATCCATATTTTGGGTCTGATTGAATGAAACGACCCGATGTTTGAGTCTGAGTCAGAAAAACGACCCAAGAGTTGGAGTCGAAAAATACGATCTAAACTTCAAGTTTGAGTCGAAAAATACGACCCAAATTTCAAGTTTGAGTCGAAAAATACAACCCATGAGTCGGAGTCGTAAAAAACGACCCATATTTTGGGTCGAGGTCGTTTTTTCGGCTTGGACTTGGGTCGGAGTCGAAAAAAACGACCCATATTTTGGGTTGAAATCGTTTTTTCGGCTTGAACTCGGGTCGAAGTCGAAAAAAACGACCCAAACATTGAGTCGGAGTCGAATAAAACGACCCGAGCTTTGGGTCAGGGTCTCGACTCGCGGCGTTTTAACAACACTAACTAGAATATATTAAATACGCACCAATTATTGAAAAAAGTTTCAGTTAATGCTTCAAGAAGTTTGGCTGATGTTATACTTAAGGACGTGATATCATAATTTTTATTTTGGCATTTAATTCAGATATTTTTTTGTGGCAGCGAAATTGATAGAACTAATAATTAGAGTATTAAATATTAAGCAACTCAAATTTTTATAATTTTTACAATTTCCATTTTTGCATGATGCCAATATTATCTGTATACCAATAATTCTTTCCCTATTTAATCATTTAATAAATAGATACAATAAAACTTAATGGAAGTGATAAATCACTCATAGGCAGCAATAATAATGCTAAAAGTAGGGCTTTGTTCGGCTAAGTTTAACTTCACGAAATTGATATAAATATGTTACATATTTAATAATATTAAAATCATAAAATTAAATGAATTTAAGCATTAAATATATATTTTTAAATCGTTTTACTGTTTCTAATTCATTTTAATGATAAATTTTCTATATCTCCGTTTGATAATTGTTTCTGATTTCTTATAGAATTTATTACCATATTCAAATTTCAATAAGCATTTGTTTTAGTAGTCATCTCTCACTATCTTTAAAACTGAATTTTAAGGTTAGTTTAATTAAACAAATTTTTTCTTCAAATAAAATATAATTTTATTTAGAATAGGGTTTATAATCTTTTATTTGATAATTATTAAATAATTGAAACCTTTATTATTTTATATTTTTGATAAATTGCAGTATTTTAAAAAGTTACTTCTTAAAGTATTAATTATGCAATGTTGTAAAAAAATTAAGTATTAAAAATTATAGCCCATATACTAATTTAATTTTTTCTTTATATTTAATTTAGGAAAAGTTATCTAAAATATTAGGAACATTTATTTATTTACTTATTTTTTTAATATAAAATTTAAAAAAAAAAGAATTAAAGGTACCAGACTCTATTGCAATCCGATCTCACTGTACATTTAAAAATCATCTTTTGGGTCTTTTTGAGAAGGTCTGGTATAATTATTTATCATAACTTTTTAAATAAGATCAATCTTATTCATAAATTTTGTAGTTATGCAATCAAATAAAATAAAAGGCAGAATATTCCTAGGTTTCTTATATCTTAAGCGCAGAAAATACATATAAAACATTTAAACCGTTTATACTTTGTCTATTTAATAATAACATTCTGTAAAGAGAAAAATTAAAAAATTATATATGCCATTATACATAGTATATTGATGATTATATAGCTATAGCCTGTTTTAAATAAAGTTCGACAACATTTTCTTGAAAAGTATTGTGATTTCACATGTTTAAAACTATAAAATCAATATTTATCGATTTAAAACCAAAATATTAGATTTAATTTTTTTTAGACACAATTTTTTTTGCCAAAAAATCTAATCATTTTATCACATTTTCTTTTTCCTTTCGGATTTATAAATCTTATACATGCATATTACTTTCATAAGCAACCAAAAAAAATTTACAAATAATATTTTAGGATATATTTTATAAAATAAAAAATATTAAATAAACTTTTATTTCACAACATCCTATTTCAAACAAATCAAATCGATCATAACTATTTTCTAGTAATTTGTGAAAATAATTTTTTTTCATCATACAATATTAATATATTATATATTTAGTATAATAATAATAATAGATATAAAAGGGCACGATTTTTCTTGTAAAATAAATGAGCTATTCATAGTGGAGATTTTCTATCCTTTTGATTTGGTTCTCTTGTATTGTATATTTACATTATTTATTTTTTTTATATAATATTGAATTTCAATCAAAAAGGAAGTTAATTGATTATAAAATATTATTCGAAAAACGCGGCGTTATTATATATTCGAAATTTGATTATAAATATTCTAAATTTTACATGATATTTTACTATATTTTTCTTCAGATATTAGAAAGTGTCATTTGTTTAGGGTGTGTGTGTGTAATGTTTAATTAAAATTATTTAATTTTCGGATTATTTACTACATAATAATTTTCTGAACGCTTTTCTAAATTCCATATTAAATATCGTGTATATTGCTGGGTTCATCAGACTATTTATGTAACCGATCCATGTGGTTAAGGTAAAGGAGAATATGCTCGGTTTGCATGGGTCGTGATTCAGTTTTTGACAAACAGCGTTTAACAAGTTGACCGTAAAAAATGGGACCCAACTGATGAGGAAGACAACTTTTTTTATGGGGTGAGCAGTTGATTTTTAAAAAAAGATAATTTATTAAAATATAAAACAACGAATAGAATAGTTGATTATTCATGTTCGATTCATTGTATGAATAACAAAATTTACTATTTGTATTCAATTCAAAATATTCGTTTTTTTAAAATATCATAAAATAATTAGATTCAAAATATTTTGACAGATTTATTTTTAGAAGTTTCTTTTTATTGTTTATCTAATTTTTAACAGAAAAAAATAATATAATTATCTGAAAAGAACATGCGTTCAAGTTAATAACGAAATTAAAATACATATTTATTTAAAAGTTTTTCTCATTGTTCATGCAATTTTTTGACAGAAAATTCTAAGAAGAGCCATTCACTAGGTTGATGTTGTTAAAGATATCACCTGTTAGATTTATAGGTTTCTCAATTTCATTTTATTCGAAACGAATACTCCTTTATTCCTACTTTATTAGAAACGAATCGAATATTTAATTTGTTTATTAAAAAGGCCTATTATATGGTATACGTTATTTAAGAAAATCTATAAAATATAGATTAATAAAAGAGTTATAAAGATTACCTCCTTTAAATTAACTAACATTTTTCGACGTAATTTTATATTAACTAAAAACAGTATTTTTTTATAATTAAGAAACACATTCAAAAATATTTTTCTAAAAATATATTTCAATTAATATAGCTACTAATATAATTAAGTTTCAAAAAAAGTTACAAGAAATCTTCAACATAATTTTTTTTTTAGATTAATAATTAACAGATTTATTAAAAAATGTTAATTTAAAAAGTAATTAAACTTAATTTTTGCTATTATAAGACATTTTTGTAAAAATTCTTTTTTTTATAAAGTTCCCGTTTATAATGATTTCCTTTCATTCCTTTTTTCCCGATTTTCGGGATAAGAAATATTATAATTTAAAATATTGTTTTTCGCCTTTCAATTCCCCACCCATGGCTAAATTTCAGATATAATGTTTTATGAAATAAAAAAAAACATTACTTAAAACTATAGCTAATGTTTTAGTAGCTCTTTTTTCTTTTTTAGCCATCTTGTCCCGTTTTTTACTATTATTTCGACGTTTCATCAATTTGACCATATAATTGCTAGTCATCTCCCCTATGTTTGTAGGAGCTATGTCGGCTAGAGTTTTAAGGTCATCTCGCCTTTTACTCCCATCATTATTGATACTAAATTTCGATCTGTAAAACGAAGATTTTCTTTTATCTAAAGTGGACGAATTGCACTGATAACTATCTTCCGAATAATGTCTTCTATTAGGTTGGAAATCGTAATTTTTTTTTGGACCATCTAAAGTATTTATTTTATTACAAATTACATGCCTGGAACATAATAAAGAATTTTTGAAAGCTAACGAGTAATCCGTTTGAGCAGTGTCACAAATTAAGATGGAAGATTTGATTGAAGCCAAATTTGATTGTGGTACAGTATCATTGTAAAACGTATATTGGTTTAAAGAGGTAGGTATTAGATGCTTAAAAAATTTGAAAGCATTTTTGCTTTTATTCGAAACATCGTTAGATAGCAAAGATATTGAGGAAATTAATTTATTTTGAAATTGATTAGACATATTATCATCAAAGAAGATATCACAGGGATCATTCTTGTCCGCCTTGTTATTCAACAATCCTTTATACAATTTAATTTGTTTTTTGACTGAATATTTTTTAGTATAGCTGATATTTTCCTGTAAGTTCACATTAAAAGACAATTTTTTAGTGCCTCTCAATTCCAATTTTGGATTTTTAACCTCATTTTTATCTTCTTTAATTTGGTTTGAATAAGGATTGTTTAATTTTGACTCTTTTTCAAAAAGATTTAGTGTTCTGTCTAATTTGTTATTACTAGAATCATCAAGGAAGTCTGTTAGATCTTCTATGGATCTAGTGGTAATGATAATTTCTTTGAACTCTTTTTTCATAATATTATCCACATTGCGTTTGTTACTTAAAATTAAATCCAGCGTAGATTCATTGGATACTCCATTTATTCGATTTTTATTTAAATCCAAACCTGTGGAAAAGCGTGGTTTTAATTGTAAATCCACTTTACCCTGAGAATTTACAAAGTAGGGATGAGGTAAATCATATCTAGCATTCCAAGTTTTTTCGTTAAATTTAAAATCTCTCAAGCTGTTTGAAGTAATATATTTTTTATCGTAAGAACATAATTTTTCACCTATTAAAATATTGTGAGAACCTTTAAAATAGTTAAACCCTTGATTTCTTAAAAATATGCAACTTTTGTTTGGTTGTTTCTTATTTAATTTAAATTTTTCTAACCAAAATTTTATATTCATATTTGACTGAGTTCTGGGAAACCTTTCATCAATTTTATAGATTGCCCAATCAATACTTCCATAGTGAGATGATTTTGGCGTTGTATCTGTGTGCACTAATGGATCCGTTTTAATGGTTGATAAATATTTTCTATTGCGTAGGTTTTTATTGAATATTACCAGATTTTTGCCCTGACGTTTCTTAAACTTTCTTTCCTTACCGATTCCATTCTCTAAATTTTTATTAATAGTATCATTAGATTTTTCTTCGTCTGGATTAGTGGAAGAAGAATTTAATACAAGAGTTGGTTCGGTAAGATCAAGCAATGTCTTATTAGAAGTCAAAGTCGAATCATCAGGTGTTTGTAGCAATTTAATATGTTGTAAATATTTTAATTTATGTTTGTTATCTATATAAAGTGCACGCGAATCTATGATATTAGATTGGAAATTAGACGATATTGGTAAAGTTATTATAGACTTATTGTTCCAACGATTATTGCCCATTAATAAGATATTTTTGCCAATTGCATTAGTGGAATTTTCTGCTCGAATTTCTTCATCGTTTACCAGAGTTGGAACAGTTATAGGGACTGCAGATGTTTGATGAGTGCTAAATTTGTGAGCCTTTTTAACTCTTTCATTGAGCACTTTGAATATTTTCGTGTAAAGATATATCATTATTAAACAAGGAATATAGAAGGAAGATAGCGACGAATATAATATAAAGTCTGCATTGTAAAATGTGCAAACTGTATTGTCCCTTCCTTCAGTGTTGTTTAGGCCAAGAATTATTGGTAACCCTATTGCAGCTGAAACTAACCAACAGACGCATATTGTTAATGGAACTCTTCTGCTATGATTTTGCTTGGAATATTTGATCGGTTTTGTCACGGCTATAAATCTAATATTATATAAAATATGTATATACTTATAATTTTAAAATTTTTGAGGGGGTGGGGGGCAATATCAATTTTGAGGAGGGGGTAGTAGAAGTCCCTGAATCAATATAATTGTGACTTTTTTAAGAAAATGGAGCCTGGTGGTAAGAACTTCTATGAATATTAAAATAAAAAATTAATAAATATTATAATTATATACTTAGTGAAAAAATTTCCTATATTAAAATTATATTTTTATATTTATTTTGTCAGATTCAACAATATTATAATCACAAAACGTAAAAAGGCACTATTTATTTTGTTCCAATTTTAGAAACTATAATTTGCATTCCGATATATAATTAATGTTAAAAATAACAGCATAAAATTGAAAAGGCCACTATGTGTTTAAAAAAGGACATTGTGAGCTAAAAAGCTATATTTAGATATATCCAATAAATATTTATTATTTAATACTAAATAACCATAAATAAATGAAAAATAGGAAATTGATCATCGGTAATTATATAAAACTATAGGAAATTGCAGAAGGGAAAACCTATCAAATCTACACTTAACAATGAAAGAAATTCTCTCTCACGTACTATTCTCTTTTCCATTAATCGCTTATTTATGCTTATATTACCTACATTATACAATTATAAACCTATCCATGCTAATGGCTGCCAGATTTAATATAGAAGCCGTACTCATACACACATCACACGCAATGAAAAAATCGCATAACATTCCTCCCAATTCCCATATGCCTTTTGTAAACTATAAAATAATAATAAAAATATAATTAATATAAATTTTTAATGAATATTGTAAAATTTTATGTACCAATTATATATAATTTTATTTCAGTTTTTGTATACAAGAGATTATTTTTAATAACTAGTTTTTCTATATCCTAAGTAATATCAAATTTATTAGCCAAAACCAATTATATATTTTTTAAAGTTTTTACTCAACTTAATCGTCGTTCTTTTTATAATATTATTATTAAATAGTAGTCAAGATATTCTACAAATTAATAAATGATTAAACTCAAAAGACTTAAAATTTGTGGTATTTAATAACTTTGAACAAATATATTTATTTTTCTTATTTGCGCCATCTATTTACAATCTTCTAATATATATATATATATAATTTTATTAAGATTCTCTAGTAAGAAATAAAAATCTATTTATTTCCTTAGAATAAAATATCCTTTTTTCAGATTAAATTTTTTTTTTTATTGATTAAAAAAAATATAATATAAGATAAATGGGTGGTTTTTAATTTTAATTAATAAATAAATTTATATACTTGTCCAATTTATACATAAATTTTTTTTGGCAAAATTATTTTTAAAAAAAAATCTATATTACCCATAACGCTTTTATAAGCTGTTTTTTAGGCGAAATAAAAATAATAATCTAATCATAGTATCAGAGATCTATCTTAGACAATATAAGACCTTCGCCCATATTTAGATTAAGTAAAATAATGTAATGTAAAAGGTTCAAATTGTACTAAAAATTTATTTTTAAATCACAACTTAAGTTCTATAATTATAAAATAATAAAAACACATTGCATATTATACAAATAATATACTGCAGATAATAATTTGTTAAAGATAATGAAATTTAATAATTAGCATTAAATAAGAAAAATGAAATAAATCTTATTGTCTACTTTAAGTAGTTTCTTTGATTGTCAACCGGGGAGTATATAAATCAGTGAAAGATTTTTTAAAAAAACTTCACATAAGATTTTAATAGTTATTAATTTAATCAACGAATTTCGACAATATTATCAAATTTATATGTTCGAGATACCTTACTAACATTAGTAATCAATTTTAGTAAACCAAATTCCGGAATCTTATGTTATTATTAAAACAATATATTTAAAAAAAAATATTCTAGCAAAATTTGAATATTGAATTTAAAAAGTATTTTATAGGACGTAAAAATTTCAAATTGATTCGGCATGCTTTGGCGAAAGTTAAATTCATAACTAATTTCGTTGAGTAAGGACGAGGCATAAATATTTAACCAAACTCATCTCTTTTTAATTATAGGATTATATTATTTATATTGGATAGTTTGATTTTAAATTTAATAAAAATATTGATTATCTGAAAGTATTTTATTACAAACATTTAAACTGGAAGTTTTTAACTGGGTTTCTCACAATTACTATCTAAAATGGGAAGTTAAAATAGTAGTTTGATTGGAAGGACCATTTATTTACAGGTCTTAGACATAAATCCTTCGATACCTTGAAAGATAGGCCAACCTATGAATCAAGTTAAATTTAATTGATTATTCAAAACAGCATCTATTGTTTTGTTAGTACATAATACGATGCGCTGAGCAAATGAGTATTTATTTAAATTTGTGTATATTGATCCTTAATCGAGTTAAAATAGATAATATCAACCTAGCTATCGATTTTAAATTTGAATATTAAAAGTTAATGAGATATTAGATATTATTTATAAAGTTTAAAAAATTTTTTAAACATTTACATTTAATGGTTATAAGACTTTACTATATTTGTATCCTCAAAGCAAATAAAAATTTATGTTTTAAAAAGGATTAATGGAGATAATAATTCTCTATATATATCATATATTCATTTCAAATATAGTTGTAATAAAAACATATTTAAGTTTTATATAAAATTGAATGATTGTTTGAAGAAGAAATAAAAAGGTTAGGCTATCTACATAATATGATATGAATGAAAGTCTTAGTCAAACACAATACAAATGCATCAATATAATAATAAACCTATCGATATTTGTTAAACTATTATAATATCTTTCCTTATAATATTTATTGGCTATTATATTCCTTTCATATTAAGAGAAAGGTGCAAAATATTTATAGGAAATATAATAATTATAAGGTTTTTTAATGCATATTTATGTTTACTATAAATATTTTAAAAAATACCATTATGAAATTTTTTGTTTTTTAGAGTTTTTAACGTTCTTTTCTAAAGGAACTAACTCCCCATTTCATTTCCAAATTTTGAATAAAAAACGTGTTCATTTTAATCAACTTAAATTTAAAAGATTATTTTAGTATGCAAATGCCGTACACACAACTATACTTTTTTCGATATAATAAAATTTAAATATATATATATATAACAATTTAAATTATTTTATTAAGCCAACCCTCCATCCCCACCCTTAAAAAATAAATTAAAATATGACCAATGTTGCTAAATTTGTGCATCAATTCCAAAACCACTTTCTATAATACCTCCTTATTCGTATACCACAAATTAATAAATATATAATAATAAAAGTTTAAAACTAAAAAAAAATAATATAATAAATTGATTTTGCCGCATGTTAAATTTAATTTATAACCTTATTTATTTTCCAAAACTTATGATTATATAAACAATTTATGCTTCGCCGAAATGATAAAGGATAAAATATTTAATGTGTATTCTTAAAATTACTTGAGGCCTTGTAGTTAAATGATTGTGTTTTATGGCCGTCAGGGTTATTAAAGTAATGCGCTTTAGCGAAAGATAGTAGCTTGCTGTTTTTTTTGAGATAGTTATAAATCGTTTATAGTTTATTTTAAAGTCATATGGTGTCCTTTTTGAAACACATATTGACTTTTTCCCCAGAATGCAATCCTATCTGGATTTAATTAATATTGGAAAGAACATTATAAAATTCCAAAAGGCGGCTATTTGTTTGGAAAAAGGACACTATATGACTAAGAAGGCTATGAAAAAAAATATTAATTATAAATCCAAAAATCAATGCTAGTTGCCCCATATTCAAGGTATTGGTCGATAACGGCTAAAAATCTCCCTTTTAACTGATATTAACTGAATACAATTATTAACCGCTTAAAGAAAAAATTATAGCCATGAATTTCTAAAAAAATAAATTGATCTACAAATTTTCTACAGATTAGAAAAAAAAGAAGAAAGACTGCATTTAAAAATAAAATATTAGAGTCTATTTATACTCTTTATAGCCTAATAATTTACTTATTTTTTACTTTTAAAATTCAGCGGAATTAAGTTGAAGAATAAACATACGAAAATAAATTACAAGCTTAATTAAAATTTTAAGGATATAGCTTAAATTAAAAGTCAAATAAACTATTATTGTGTAAATGAAAACTGGGAAAAATCTTATGATAGTTTTTTTCAAATGTTTAAATGAACTTTAGCCTAGTCGTAGCGGAGGAAAATTCAGAAATTTGCCAGTTCTTGTAAATATCATCTTAAGTTGATGAAAAATTTTCCCAAAAAAACCTCCTAAAATAATTTACACAATATATTATAATATAAACAATAATTTAAAAAAAGATCTTCTCCAACAAAATTTATTGAGATAAAATAACATAATAGTGCCACCCCTCCCTCTCCTTGGAAAAATCTTGGCTATACCTAAACTTTTTTTTATGGATAATTTCATAAAAAATATTAGTATCGGTAGATCTCTGAATAATTTATAATTTTATAATTTGGTTTAATTATTTTTATGTTTATAATGATTTATGGATTTTTTTTACGTTTATTGAAGAAAAAAATTAATAAAAATACAAAAGATTCCACTACAAAACATCAAAATAGTTGTTAATATTTGGATAATAATCATTGTTAATAAAAATGCAATAATAAAGTTACACATGCCTTCGCCTTGGAGATTCACTTAAATGTAACTAGTCAAATTCAATTAAAAAAGAAAAAGGAATATTGAAAGATCAAAAAATAATAATTATTTAAAGCAGATGATAAGAGTAATGCGACTACTATAATTAATAGGATTGATTTTATGTCTAAGGTGAATTCCCAATTGAATATTATAATATTTATAGAATCATTTTTAAAAATCCTAAGAAAAATAGCTCAAACTAAAAATATTTTAAAAAAACATTAAAAATGGAACACTGTTTCTAAACTTACTGTACCTCTTCATAGTGGTTTACTTTATAACCAAATATTTCATAAAGAAAGAGTTTTTTTATTAATTAATTTAATTTCCAATGTGAAGATATTAAATGAATTTATATCTTCGAAATTAGCAGACTAACGATATAATCGAACTTATTTTATTCGAATATAGAGATATATTAATTTATTGGCTTTTTAAAATTCTTTCCATTTTGTTTAGTTTTATATTACAATGTTCAAGTCTATGATAATCTTCGATCATACGGTCTACATGAAAAATATGAAAGGAATTTTATGTTTTTCTGTAATGCCGAAAAAAGGGAACATAAAACATTACTGACGATTATATAAAATAAAATAATAGTTATTTTAAACTTCTTTATAAATTAGCATAAAAAGGTATACGCGAAGAGCTACCATTTTTAAAAAGTATACGCTATCTTTTTTTGAAAAGAAATGGTAGTACGCTATTTTTTAAAAAAGCGTTTAACTTTGGGACCATTTCTAGTAAATTATATAGAATATAGGATATTTGGATATTAGATTTGAAAAAATATTGATCATTTAATCAACACATAATTTCTTTCAGAGTTTAACAAATTAAATAAGTTATTAATTATTTCTCCATGCTAAGGTTGGTATATAAAAACATCAACCAAAATTTAAGAATGCTAGTAATTGTACATAAATTTATCTTTTTTAGTTTTAAAAACAAAGGGTTAATTTAAATTTAAATAAATGCTTATATTTTTAATAATGATCAACTATTTTATATAAATCAAAATAAATTTTAAAAAATCACCAAATATCATATCACTTTATATTTAATTTATTAATTAATTCATA